CAAGGACTCCTCTGTCTCGTTGTTGTTAAAGGCACCGTCGAGTCAGTTCTATGTACGACAGGGCAAACCATGCCCAGTTTGTTCCGTGTCCGCCTCACAATCGTTAGGTTTGAGCAGCTATTGTTGCAGCCACTGCGTCAATCCATCTGGTAAGCGATCTTCCTCTATTGTAGTGGAGTCAACTCTGACTCATGGTGCCCTTGTGGGACAGACTAGACCTGTTCCCCTTGAGTTTCCGAGGCTGTAAATCTTTCTGGAAGCAGAAAACCTCGTCTTTCTATTGCAGAACAATTGGCGCTTTCAAATTGCAGACCTTGTGGTCAAGAGCCCATGTCCAATTCACCTAGTCCACTATGCCACCAGGGCTCCCAGGCTGCAGGTCTAGTCGATGTGTGGCAGTGATTGGAATCTTGAGTTACGCCCATGGTGAATACACATTGTTACATGCTCAACCTCGCAGAGGAGGCTGGATTGTAGCTTCAGAGACAGGAAACGTTGCTGTGGCAGAGAACAAAAAGCCAGAGGTGTGTCCTCGGTTGCAGAAACATCTTCATGTTGTGGTAAAACACATTTCGTACCTGAAGGGGACTGGCACAGTCAAAAGCCACACAGCAGCAGCATACCGTTCAGTGTGACCCAAGGATTATAAATGATAAAATCCAAACGCGAAGGAGTGAATGATATCGGAAGTTAAATTTTTTTCCCCATTAGACTATATAGATGGCAATAGGAGCCCAAGATCCATTCTCAGCGTCCACGCATGGATTAAGCCTCCAGTGAATTCCCTCCAACCATAGACCGGGGATGTGAACAGCCTAGCTAGTGTGTTGATTGCAGTGTTTTCTGATTTTCTGTAGTTTTCACCGGTTTTTTTTGTATATGAAATCCAGGATGGGTCTATCTAGAGTGACTGACTGCAGTAGTGGGTTCTTGTGGGGCATGGCTGGGAAGGTTGGGGGGAAATGGGGAGCTGCTAATAATGAACAGAAGAAAAAAGCAGATGTTCTAAGATTGATCGAATAGTTGTTATGTGAATTATAGACCAATAAAATGGTGTTTCAAAAAGCCAATCAGCCCAAGTGAGCACTACAGGGCAGGGACTTGGAAAGAGCAGCAGTGCAGGAAGTTTGGCCCAGACATCCACCAGACGTCCATAATCCCCTGGGCAGACCCTAAACTTCAACCCAGGGCGAAGGCACAGAGGGCCGGGAGGGTGTGGCTTGCTTGGGGGTTCCAGATGGTTGTTTGGTGAGAGAAGCTGGGGTGTAACCAGAGTTTCCGAGGCCAGAAGCAGGTCTCAGGCCAACTGAAGTCTCTCCTTCCTGGGGAGACCGTCAACTCTCTGGGACCCCTTTTCTTCTGGAGATCATCAGCCCTAGAATTCCTCATTCCTGTAAAGACCTGGGAGAGAGACACGCTCAAAGTCACCCCTCTTCAGATGAGTTCCAGTTCCACTAAACGCGGTA